ATCCAGAGTTTGGTTTTAGCAACATTATGTCTGAAATGTCTGTTAGATATTCAAATGGAGATATGAAAGTTGCAAGGAGAAATCAGGGTTAGAGATCAAGATTTGGAAGTTATCAAAATATACATGGTATTTAATAAAGTTTTGAAATCACCTAGGAAAAGGCTATTAAGAAGTAGGCCCAAGATTGAGCCCCCAGGCATTTCAATGTTTAGAAGTTAGAATTAGAATCCAACAGAGGAAATTGAGGAGTATAAAGTAACATGGAGAAAAAAGAAATGCAGTCGGTCATCTGGATTAAATGCTTCTAAGAAGTCAAGATTAGAATAAAGAAATGGCCATTGGATTTGGCAACATGGCCAATATTAATGACTTTGACAAGGGCAATCTTTATGAAATAGTGAAGTCAAAGCCTAACTGAAGTGGATTAAGGAGAGATTTAAGGAAATAAGGTGGAGTAGGTATCTATAAACAACTTTTTCAACAAGTTTTGTTGTAAATCAGGAAAGAGAAATAGGAGAGTAGTTAGAGGGAGATATGGGGTCAAGAGAGTTTGTTTTTGTTTTCAGATAAAAAATGTTAGAAAGTATTATATACTAATGAGAACAATTTGGCAGACAAGTGAAAACTGACTCTGCAAGAAAGAGCATCATTATATCAATGGCCTTGAAAGGTAGAGGGATTAGGATTCAGATCCTAAGAAGGGAACTTCTTTTTTGATAGGAGCATGGACATAGGACTCCAATGAGAGGGAAGGCAGAGTGTGTAATATGCAGATAGGTTGGTAGATTTACAATAAAAAGGTAAGGATGTCACTGTGTGCGTAGTTTTACCAAAAATAAGATAAAAGTTGATATGGGGGTTGGGGAGTATAGGTTGGAGTAGAGATGTGTGAATAGTTGGAGAGTGGAAAAGTGAACATATATATACATTTATACATGTATATATACATACATACATAGTGGGTATTTGTGTGTAATACATAATAGGAAGAAATCTATTATAGAAAATATTTTAAAGGCATCGTTACTAAATATTTTTGAGACATCTTATTGGAAGACCTGAAACTTTGAATTCTGTGTTTTCCATAATGTAGAGATTGAGGACTTCTCAATGCCATAGATACTTCTAATGTTTGTTTATGTATTTTTATCTATTACAGGTTAAAAGGCAAAAACATTTTTGTTATAATTCAAAGCCTATGAAAATTATAATTAGTTTAATCCTGAAACATGTATACTGTAAATGTTTGTTTATGTATTTTTATCTATTACAGGTTAAAAGGCAAAAACATTTTTGTTATAATTCAAAGCCTATGAAAATTAAAATTAGTTTAATCCTGAAACATGTATACTGTATACTCAGCCTATTACTTTTCTCAAACAGTCTTTTGGAGGGTATTGAGATCCCATCTGAATTTAAAAAAAAAGATAAACAGAAACTAACCTTTTAATAAAAATTATTTTGTTTTCATATGAAAAACATCAATACCTTTTGTCACTTAGGAAAAACACATGGGCAATATGGTTGTTTTACTCATTGTGCCCTTTCCTATGCTATAGGAAGGATGTGATCTTTTAATTGTGTTTGGTGTATTATTTCTGGAGATATATATATATTTCTTGGATATGTATATATCCAAGCTATATGTAATTCAATGTGTTGGAACTTAAAGATGCACATTTATTCTTTGGATTTGATGTGAAATTAGATTGTGAATAATGGAATAAGATTGCACTCCATTTTTTTTGCTGTTCTAGCATAGCCAAAAATATAAAGATATATGTGTACATATAAATATGTATTTGATTAAACACTTTAAATATTTAAATGGCCACATCAAATTTTAAACGGTAGATGATATCAATAATTTCAGTGCACCCAAAATAATTGCTATAAAAATCTTTGTAGCACAAGTCCTAAAGTTCATTAATTGAATACTAAATAGCACATTTAGATATATTTGACTAATAAAAAACTATAGCTGAAAATATTTTTCCTTCAAGTATAAATGATTTTTTAAAAGTACCTTTGTAACTTGTCATAACCTATTCATCATTAATTAAGGATTTAGCACTGTAACCAACTACTCTTACAAAAGCGGGGAAAAATCTGTTTGTGAGAATAAGAAAG